CCGGATGGTGATTTTAGACTCAGGTGTATGCCCTGATCTGCATTTGGATATTTCTCGAAGGTTTCGGCGCTAATTGGCAAAAGTTGGAATTTAAAAAATTTGGAAAGTTCATAAGTTTGACAAAGAGTTGACTTTGAGGATATCGGATTCGGATTATGATTTCGAGAATTGGGATAGTTTCGTTATGTCATTTGTGAGTTGTATGCAAAATTTCAGTTCATTCCGAGTTGATTTGATATGGTTCGGCATGAGTTTTTGGAAGTCGAAAGTTAGAATGTTCATTAAATTTTATTGAGGTGCGATTCATCGTTTCGATATTGTTATGCCTTATTTGAGGACTCGAGTAGGTTCGTGTTATGTTAAAAGACCTGTCGGTATGTTCGGATGGGGTCATGAGGGGCTCGGGTGAGTTTCGAATAGGTTTGGGTTGTGTTGCGCTCGTTTTTTTTATGTTTCGACGTCGTTTCTCCAAGTATAAATGGTACCACATTAAGCAAATGAGCTCCAATTTCGGTTTTGATTGAAGCATTAGATACGTATCGTAATTGCGGAGCCATAGAAAAAATAATCGTCGAATGTGGACATCGTATGAGGGGTTTATGGTCATTTTACTAAGAGTTGGGTTGCTAGATTTGTCAAATTAATTACGATATTGCCACTTACTTTGTATTTAAAAATCTGCACTATTTTCAAATATTGAAACCAACATATCTCCTTCATTATAATATCAAATGGAGTGATTCAAAAGCCTAACTTCACTAAACTTTCACAAGGAATCCATTGGAGGCATTAAAAGCGTATTTCGAGATCTTTTGTCACACGAAACGAGGCAGAACAACTAGGCAAAAATATTTAATATTGATGGTTTGTTCATTTGGTCATATTTTGAGTTGGGGAGCTCGGATTTGGACAATTATTGAGGCGATTTTCACCATACGGATTGCGGTAAGTGTTCTCTACTCGGTTTTGGTTATATTTCAAGAATCTATCTTCGTTTTTGGTAATTGGATTGTGAATTTTAAAGAGAAAATTGGGGGGTTTTGTCCAAAGATTCATTGAGTGAAGTTTTGAGTTTTGAACATCGATTCGGAGTCGGATATGAGAGAAACTAGTATGGTTGGACTTGTAATTGAATTGTTTATCGGATTTTGTGAGTTTTGTTGAATTCCGAGGTGCGATCCTAGGTTTGACTTTTTAGTTGACTTTGGGGTTTTGATTAAAGATGTGACCTTTATCATTTGGAATTATTTTCTTGCGCATTATTTGATATTCCTGAGTTTCTTTTGGTTGTTTCGAACCGTTCGGAGGTCGGTACGCATGAGATGGCATTTTTGGAGCATCGTTTGGCTTGCTCGTTATTGGATTTGTCTTGTTCAAGGTAAGTAACACTTGTAAACTTGGTGCTGAGGGTATGAACCCTGAATATACGTGTTATGTGTTTGGTGTTGAGGTGACACACATGCTAGGTGACGGGCGTGTGGTTGTGCACCGTGTGAATTGTGACTCTGTTATTTCTGTGGTACTGTGTAGTTACCTGATCTTATCTGTAACCATGAAATCTCTACGTACTAGAGCCATTGAGATGTGATCCATGTTAGAAACCATGTCTACGCTACATGCTTATTCTATTGGGAACCACTGAGGTCATTTGTTCTGTTTAGTTATTTGCTTACATTGCAATTACATACTCAGTCGTACGCATTCATATGCATATCATATCTTAGTCTCTGTTATCATTTATTAATACCTCACATCATTATTTTTGGGCTGAGTTTCATGACATTGTGAGACTGAGAGACTGGAGAGATTGATGACTGAGCGAGGCCGATGGCATGATTGTGAGGATATTGATGGAATCGGCTGCACGCCGTAGCAAGTATTATTGATTTATGATGGGAGCAGGCAGTATGCCACAACTAATGTTATTAATTTACGCCATGATTGGCTTATTATAGCGCTTGGGCTGATGGAGCCCCTCTGAAGTCAGTACACACCCTGAGTGAGCGTAGGTACCTACTGAGTGCGAGTGCCGAGTGACTTGGAGGATTGAGTGACTGTGAGGACTGAGTGACTGTGAGGATATGAGTGATTGGGCGGACTGAGTGCATTGATTCACCGAGGGTATGCATATGGTTTCATTACTGCATTATATTACAATTGGCATGCATACATTGACTTGTAGGCATAGAGATGCACTTTCTCATGCCATTTGATAATGAAATGTCTTACCTGTTGTTGGAGGTTTTTGGGAAAAATCACAGCTTTCGAACTTACGCATATTTTTGGTGTTTTTGATGAAAGATTTGGGATTTACTGTTATACTTGAAAAGCATGCCTATTTTCAGTAACGGTGAATGAGTTGATCATCATATCTCTAAGTTATTTCGTGTACCATCTTATTTATATTGTTATGAACTGTCGCTGGTTATTGGAGTTGGACTCTGACCCTTGTCCCAGCTCATCACTACTTTCAACCTAAGGTTAGGTTTGTTACTTATTGAGTACATGGGGTCGGTTGTACTCATAATACACTTCTACACTTTGCGTGCAGATGTTGGATTGTGATGTTGTTGTGTATGGCGGGAGCTAGATTTGAAGATGTACATGCATTCTGGTTACAACTGACTCTTGTCCTTGATAGGTTTAGAATTTTTAATATGTTCATGTATTTTTCAAACAAATGACATATGTATTTCATACCAGCTTTATAAACTCTAAATCTTAGAAGCTCATGATTTGTACTACGAGTTCTTGGGAAATTCTTGTATAAAAGCAATTGTTTTATCATTTCTTTTCTTGATAAATCTCATTAAACTTGGATAGTTGTTAAATTTCTTACCTAACCAGTTGGGTTAGGTGCCATCACGACTAGTTGGATTTTAGGTCGTGACACACCTACTTTCTAAGACTAGGTAAGCCTAACAAATATGCGAAATATAACTGAAATAACAAATAAACTCCCAAACACTCAACGTTTTATAATAAATAAAAAAACACTTCATAACTCAACATATATAATTTCCCCAAAACCTAGTGATATCGAGACACAAGATCTACAATGGTATCATAGTCATCCCTATACAACTGTAACTAGTAAAAGAAGGAAAATATAAAAGTAGATAGAGGGTAACTCCGAGGTCGACAGACGCCGGTAGGTGTAACTTGAAGTCTCCATGTACGAACTCAACTCACTGATGCCTGGACTGGTAGGAGGTACCTGGATCTGCAGAAAAAGATGTGTAGAAGTGTAGCATGAGTACACCACAACGGTACCCAGTAAGTGCCAAGCCTAACCTCGATAGCATAATGACGAGGTCAGGTAAAGGCCGTACTGGAATAAATAAGAAAAGAATCTGTACAGTGTAGGGTAGTGTAGTAATGAAAGCAATGAAATTGAAACAACAAATAACATATCAAGGTTAGCTAGAACTAAGGCAAATAATGCAACATAGAGAAAATAAGGAATGCATGCTAAGGAAACAAAACAACCAAAGACAAGTGCAACAATAGAGAAATATCAACAAGAGTCACTACCGAGGTACCGCCTCATAGTCTAAAATCACAAGAATAATTCACAATCTTTCCTTATATCACCGTGGAAGCCTTGCATTTAGTTTTAAAAATCATATTTCCGAAATAGCATCCCGTGCTTTAGCGTACCTTATCACACCGCGCGGCTTCTAGTGGTTTCCCTACTAGCCACGCGTATCAAGCCCACCTTATCTCACTGCATCCGTTTAAACCCCAAAATCTTATACCACGACATGCGTATCAATATCACAGCGTATCATAAATCACACCTCAAGTGCCTAATATCAAAACTTGCCAAAAAAATAAAATATAACAGTGTTTTCATAATAAAGTGCTCATGTCTCAACCACAATGTACTCAAGAATTACAACAATAACAACCGGAAGTGAATTACTCAACAGAATAGTATTTCACAACTTAACACTTAGTCTCAATATGAATCGCGACCTTTATCACTCAATACCGATTTCATCAACAAGTTATTAAAAGAATAACAACTTCAAGTGAAGAATTTACGGCTAAATAATGAATTAGGAATAGAGGGAACAACAACAACTTCAACTAAACATGTAGGGCAATTAACAAGTAAAAGATAAGACAAGTAGAGCATGTGAAGATAACCTAGAAATGATGAATATAACATGTTAAGGTAACGCAATTAAGGCATAAAAAGAAACAATTTAGTTAAAATCGGTAAATTTCTACATTTAGCCTGTGTGCACACTCGTCACCTTGCGTACACGGCTTCCGTACATCACAATTATCACAAAACTATACCAATCCTAAGAGGTAATTTTCCCACACAAAGTTAGGCAAGATACTTACTTCAAAATACGCTAACTCTATCAACTAGTAGGCCTTTCCCTCGATTATCCAACTCTAAACAATTCGAATCTAGCCAAAATAACTTCATACTGTAAATATAAACTATAGAAAACTATTTCGAACAATAAAATTATGATCTTTGCAAAGAAATAAAAATTCAACTCAAAAGGTCAACCAGGGCATGTGTCTCAGAACTCGACCAAAATAAAAAAAATACGAATACCCATTCAACCATGAGTCCAACCATACCAAAATTACCAAATTCTGACACCAAATCGTCACTCAAATCCCAAAATTTTACTCTCCAATCCCTAGTCAAATTCCAAAAAATTCCACCTTAAAAATAAATTAACTAGGTGGGAAATTCAATGGGTATTCAATATTAATGAGTAAAAATAACCTAAAGTGGCTTACCTCAAGAGATCACGTGAAACACCTTTCAAAATTTGCCTTAATCCTAGCTCCCAAAGTCCAAAAATGAATAAAATCTCGTAACCCTTCAATTAAATACACTGCCTAGGCCTTTTTTTCTGCGGGTCCAAAATCTAAATCTGCAGAATTCACTTAAGTCCTCACAGATCCGCACATGCGCTCCAAGATCCGCATCTGCGCCCAAACGTCCGCTTCTGTGAAGCCAACTTCACTTACCCATCTCCGCATCTGCAGAGCCTTGATTGCATATGTGGGCTCACAGATGCGGAAGATTCCTCGCACCTGCAACCACTGGCCAACTCCTTCAATCCCACACTTGTGACCCCTGGCTTGCTTCTACGAGCTCGCACCTGCGACCAATCCCTCGCACGTGCGGTCACACTAGAGAATCCCCATCTTATGAGAGCTTTACATTGATAAATGTAAAGTAATCTCTGCATAGAAGTGATTGATTAAAACCGTGATCATGCCTGAAGCTGCGTGAGCAAAATGTAAAAATATTCAAAGTAATAGCAAAGGAAATAAAAGCATGCCGGAGATATACTCTTGACTGCGAAGCTAAGTTGCGGTCATCGATTGGCAGAATGTAGGTGACGAGGTTTGTGACTATCTATTCTGGTATCAGTTGTGACAGAGGTCGATGTAGATTATTTTAGTATGACCTTAGTGCTATATATAAAGGATTCAAAGATTAGCCTTAGCTATACCAGAAAAATTCAAGTGATGGAGAAAGAGAGATAACCTTAGGCAAGTGGTGGATCCTTCATTTGCCCTAGTATGACCTTAGTGCTTCCTTTCTCCCTGTTGACCCTGCACTCAAAGAAAAATTCTGAGTGGGGCGGGGAAGTTAGTTTGTGTCGACCACAGTGTTGGTTTGCCCCGACCTTTGATATGGTTGTGCTACAAAGTGCAGCAGGTGGAACAAATTACTGTATTTTTAGAAAATATTTTGAAAATACTTTTTTTAAGGCAAATTCCATCATTACAGATTATGACATGTTACGAAAAGTTCACCACCCGCGATTGTTTCTTCTTAAAAACTTTAACCCGTTGGTATCGATTGTCCGTGATGCTTCTGACAATGCGGCTACTCTCCGTTGCGACTATGTCCTAATTAAAACTAATGCATTATAGAGGTTTTCCTAAGGTTATGACCGAACCCTTTCAGGTTCCCTATGTATCCTAAACGGAATTAGGTCTGAGCGTAGTTCGTGGATTATGATAAAATATGATGAAGGTGAACGAGCCTGAGTCAGGCAGCCTACATATCCATATGGAATCAGGCCAAGATGTAGTTCGATAATAATATAAGAAAAATTATGAATTTAAGAATGAAAAATGGCCGAGTCTAACTCAGACTGCCTACGTATCCAAATGGAATCAGTCCAGAACGTAGTTCCCTTACAAAAGATGACTGAATCCGATGAGGATTGCCTACGTATTCCCTTCTGAGGAAATCAAGTCTCGTAGTTCCTGAGCAACATACAAAAATGATATTTGGTTTTTCTATTACAAAAGAAAGGGGAAGAGAAACTGAACCCTATGTGGGTTACCTACGTATCCCTCCGTGGGAAGTCAGGTTGAATGTAGTTCTATTACAATAAAGACCTAATTCTATTTGTCTTTAAATATAGTATCTATTGATTGCGTCTGAGTTGATGGGCTTCGTGTTGACTCTTCCATCCATTTATGCCAAGATTAGAGATCCACATGATAGTGTTCGGTGAACCATGTAAGGACCTTGCCAATTTAGTGCAAACTTTCCTTTGGCTTCTTCTTGGTGGGGAAAGATTTTCTTTAAGACTAACTGCCCCGGTGTGAACTGGCGAGGCTTCACTCTCTTGTTAAATACACTGGCCATGTTGTTATGATATAGCTGACCATGGCATACTACATCCATTCTTTTCTTGTCGATGAGCATGAGTTTCTCCTGTCTGACCTGTATCCACTATGCGTCATCCAATTGTGCCTCTTGAATGAACCTTAAAGATGGTATTTCGACCTCTGCGGGTATCACAACTTCAGTGCCATATATCAATATGTACGGTGTTGCCCTAGTGGATTTTCTCGTAGTGGTCCGATAACCAAGTAAAGTGAAAGATAGTTTCTCGTGTCATTGCTTGTGATTGTCCACTATCTTTTGTAGAACCCTCTTGATAGTCTTGTTGGCTGCCTCAACTGCCCCATTCATTCGCGGTCTGTGGGCTGTGGAATTGCGGTGGACGATTCTTAACTTCTCACATATTTCTCTCATGAGGTCGCTGTTGTGGTTAGCGGCATTGTTAGTGACGATGGACTCCAGTATTCCAAATCTGTAGACAATGTTATTTCAGACGAAATCTGCTACTACTTTCTTTGTGACGGCCTTGTACGTTGATGCTTTGACCGATTTAGTGATATAGTCAATAACTGCCAAGATTAAGAGATGCCCTTTTGATGCGGCATTCTCTATAGGTCCAATCACGTCCATGCCCCAAGCGGCAAATGGCCAAGGTGAATCCATTACGTTTAACTCATTTGCGGAACCCAGATGAAATCCCCATGAATCTAGCACTTGTGACACTTCTGCGCGTAATGGATACTGTCACTTTCCATAGTCATATAAAAGTATCCAGCTCCCAAGATCTTCTTGGCTAATGTGAACCCATTCATGTGGGGTACGCACGTTCCTACATTTATTTCCTCCAATAACCTGGTTTCCTCGGCAACGTCTACACATATCAACAAACATAAATCTGGGGTCCTCCTTTATCGGACTTCCCCGTTGAGGAAAAGGTGATTTGCCTACCTACTGAGGGCTCACTTTTGACCATTAGTAGCATTCTCCACGTATTCTATGGTTGCAAGGAATTTACTAATGTCATGATACCATGATTTACCATCTGGTTCTTCATCTACATGGAAGCAATAGGCATGTTGATCCCTGATCTCTACCTCGATAGGGTCGATGTAGTTCTTATCTGGATGCTGAATCATAGATGATAGGGTTGCTAGAGCTTTAGCGAACTCGTTCTGAATCGTGGGGACGTGCTTGAACCCAATCTTCGTGAACTTCTGGCATAGTTCCTTCATACAGTGCACGTACAGAAGTATCTTGACATTCTTGGTGGACCAAAAGTTCTTTGACGTTTATGTTGACTGCCATTCTGATCCCAAGGATGCACGCTTCGTATTTAGCCATATTATTAGTACAAGGGAACCTTATCTTTGCCGATGCAGGATAGTGCTGTCCAGATTCCAAAATTAGGACCGCAACAATTCCATCTCCATTTAAGTTTGTTGCTCTATCGAAAAACCTTCTCCATCCAAGGTACGATTCTGCAATATCTTCTCCAGCAAACAATACTTCTTCATCGGGAAAATACATAGTAAGTGGCTCATAATCTCCATCCACTGGATTTTTTACGAGGTGGTTGGCTAAAGCTTGTCCTTTGATAGCCTTCTGAGTTATGTATACGATGTTAAACTCGCTAAGGAGAATTTGCCATTTGGCTCACTTTCTGATGGGCATCGACTTCTGGAAGATGTGCTTGAGTGGGTCGAGACGAGATATAGATGCGTAGTGTATGCTGACTTATAATGCCTTAGTTTCTGGGCAATTCAAGTTAGAGCACAACAAGTGCGTTCTATCAAAGTATACTTGGCCTCACATGGCATGAACTTCTTACTTAAATAGTAGATGGCCTGCTACTTTCTCCCAGTTTTGCCATGCTGTCCCAACACACAGCCGAAGGCATTATCCAACGCTGACAAATATAGTAATAATGGCTTCCCAAATTCGGGGGGAACCAACACTGGTGGATTTGACAGATACTCCTTGATTCTGTCGAAAGCTTTCTGGCACTCTTCTGTCCATTTTGTGGCAGCATCCCTTTTCAGCAACTTGAAAATGGGTTCACATATTACCATGGACTGGTGTTACATCCCATGTTTTCTCACGTGAAAGTATGCCATAAGTAAGTTGATATAAGCTCGGAAATGAGATGTTACATCCCGCATTTTCGTATGTTAAAGTTTCGTCGTAAGTTAATCGACGTAAACTTGAGAATGAGATTATTTTTAGATTATAAGTATTATGCTATTTCAAACAAGTGATGAGTGAATTCGTGAAGGTGAGAGGGTAAGAAAATCGAAGAAAATAAATTTCGTCGAAGTTTAACATTTTGAGATAAAATACGGTCCAAGCTACAATACCCCATATTTATGGACTAGTGCCATAAAGGTACCACATGACCATGATTGCAAGATGTATAAAGTGTGTTAAAACTGAGTAGTATTATAAGTAATTTGTGATAATGTTTAATTATGTAGATAATTGGGTTATTATTGGTCATTGGGAGATTAACAAGTTAATAAAGAGATTAGTGGATAATTAATGATAATCTTTGGATAAAGTTAAAGAACCCCACGAGGCAGCCAAGAGCCTTAGTAAATGCAACTCTTAAAATCACATAAAATATGGGGCCCACTCCCAAAGGTTAAGAGAACCTCTCTAATTCATTTTTGAATCTCTACATGTCAAAGAATGCTTCAGCAAACCCATTCAAAGTGTTAGCGACGTAATTTTCTACAAAGTTCATACAAGAATATGATCAATTCACAAAAGAGATATGAATCCTACAATATGATCCTATAATATGAAATAAGTTAGATTGGTGGAATTCTCAAATATGATTTCGTACGAATATTTTACAAAGTTAGATAGATTGGCAACGTGAGTTTTCTTCTTTAATACTCCTTGTTGCAAGGCTTCTTTAATACATGTTTCAAGGCTTCTTTAATACATAATCTACAAGTAACGAGCCTTCAACAAAAGAATTTATCCAAAGTTATACTACGAGGCTTCTTATAAAATAGCAACGGGATTTTGCGATTCTAAAGGAGTACGGTGCAATCTTTCTCAAGAATATCATACGGATTTTCCCCTACTTCAATCCGCCGTTACATGTTTTTTCACAAACGACGCGTGTTAGAGGGATTTTCAAGAGAATCAGCTCAGGTATGTTAAGGCTATCCCTTCTTGCTTTTTGGCATGATTCATACGATACAAACGAAACGAGTAATCACACAATTTTCATAAATAACTCTATTCATAGAAGTACTAAGGGTGTCTATATTCTTGATTCCCCACGTGACATATTATTATATCTTCTATTCATGGGTCTCAGAAAAATATGTAGTTGATAAAGTTATCCAAAGGGAATATTGATCTTATGACATTCCGAGAAATCTTATTAACGCACTTCTTATGCATTTCATGCATTTATAAATGTACATTGACCCCTGACCTGGTGGCGTTATATACGCGTATATTATATGTATAGGGGATACAGGAAAAGGTTATGGTGTTATATACGCACCACCACCTGATCAGCTGGTATACGTTGATGATTTCCCCATAGTGGCCGAGATGATATGATGGGATTCCCTCAGAGGCTTGATGATGTTATGTACGCATATACCTATGCATGGTATGACATTTATACACATATGCATTACATTATAAATATGAAATGATTCACAGAGTTATTCAGACTTACATGTTGAGTCCTTTACTCCATGTTTCTCTCATGTCTATTGTTTACTGATTTTCATTCCTTACATACTCGGTACATTATTTGTACTGACGTCCCTTTTTCCTGGGGATGCTGTGTTTCATGCCCGCAGGTCCCGATAGACAGGTTGAGAGTCCTCCAAGTAGGCTATCAACTCAGCGAAAGGTGGTGGTGCGCTCCATTTACTCTGGAGTTGCTTATTGGGTCGGTATGATTTTGACATGTAATGATTGGTATGGCTGGGCCCTGTCCCGACCTTTATGGTATTTATCTACTCTTAGAGGCTTGTAGACATATGTCATGTACGTAAAATATTGTATGGTCTTGTCAGCCTATGTTAAGGGTACGAGTGATCATTTTGGTCTTATAGGTCCTATGTCACATGTATAAGTTTGTATTATATGTTGGGTCCAATGTTGAGTATTTCCTCATGTTTTATTTTACTGATCTCACGACAGCCTCTCCGACTCATTTACCTATGATAGTATGATACGAAAGATACGTTACGCTGGTACTCGACTGAGTAAGGTACCGGATGCCTGTCGCGGCCCATTGGTTTGGGTCGTGACAACTGGGATATAAAGCTACTCATGTAATTTAATCTACCCAGGAAACGCATTACATATTTCTTGCTCTTTGGTGGTGGCAATTCCTAAATGGCCTTGATTTTTGATGGGTCCAGTTCTATCCCTTTCATGCTTACAATGAAGACCAATAATTTTCCAGTGGGGACTCCAAATGCGCACTTTGCCGGGTTCAATTTCAAACTATACCTTCGTAGGCATTCGAAAATTTTCCTCAAATTGTCCAAGTTCTCTGAATGCTTTTGAGACTTTATGTTGACATCAACCACATATACTTCAATCTCCTTATGAATCATGTCATGAAAAAGGGTCGTCATGGTCCTCATAAAGGTGGCGCCAGCATTCTTGAGCTCGAATAACATGACTCTATAGCAGTAAACTCCCCAAGGTGTGGTGAAGGCTATCTTCTCTGCATCTTCCTCGTCCATCAAGATTTGGTGATACCCAGCAAAAAAAACCACAAACGACTGCAATTCATGCTTCGCAATTATCGATGAGGATGTGGATATTTGGTAGAGGTAAATTGTCCTTTGGACTAGCTTTGTTGAGATCTCGGTAATTCATGCATGTTCTGATATTTCCATATTTCTTGGGTACTGTGACACTATTTTCCAACAAGATGGGATAATTGGTGACCCTTACCACATTCACCTTTATCTGCTTGGTCACTTCCTCCTTTATCCTTAGACTTAAATCAGGTTTGAATTTCCTAGGTTTTTGCTTGACCGGCGGTCTGGTAGCATCGGTGGGCAATCGATGTAAGACATTGTCAGTGCTTAATCCCAGCATATCATCATATGACGATGCAAACACAACAATGTACTGTTGGAGGAGCTCAACCATTTTTTCCTTCTACTCGGCTTCTAGATGAATGCTAATCTCGATTTCCTTCACGTCTTCTTCACTTCCGAGGTTGATCACTTCCGTTTCTTCGAGGTTGGGATTTTTTTAACTCTCCAGCTGCTCGATGTCCTGTGGAAGATTGTTTGGCATCATACTCCTCATACTTCGGGTTGTTGCGCTCAACGGTTTTGTTACATGTCACAATCGTAGAACGCGGGTTTTTAGCATTTTGATTATTGAAAAGAAAAGCTAAGTATAAATGAAGCGGTAAGTAAAGTTGCAATATTTGAGAAAATGATTCTTTTTATTTCATCAAAAGGGGAATGCCTTAAGCGTTTAGAAGAAGGAAATGATAAAAGGGTACAAACACGGTGCAAGCCTCAATTGACCATGCTCTTTTCAAAAGAAATTTGTTACAGTTCCATACTACTAAGACTCCCGGCGAACCAAGGATGGACTGGCAGTCCAATTCGGTAGCTCTTCCCCTAGTCTGGCATCCCTGATAGTCGGTGTCTTGATGT